TATGCCTCAGTAAAGCCTTTACGTGGCCTTATTAAAGCTTGAAGTAGGCCTCAGTAGAGCTTTAACTAGGCCCACTGTAGATCTGTGGCAGGCTGTCAGCGCTTACATAACTGCGCATCATGGTCGAGAGAGCAGATAATGAGCGCAATCAGCGCTCATTATCCGCTCTCTGGTGAAAGTAGGCTCGGTTAGAAACTCTTTCGCAAGACCCTTTCGTTCAGAAGCGTACGACTGCTTTCCCATTTTGCATGGAATCCGCCAGCGCCGCACGCTGCACTTAGCATGCGGGGAGACGAGTCACTCTCTAATTACCCTATAAATGAGGGAATAACGAGTACTGTCACGCCGTCACGTCAGTTAAGCGGTTTAAACATTAAATGGCCGGTTAAAAAACAAGCTTCCGACTCTCAACAGCTATAAATATATTGGACAAAGGTTTAGTAATGCTGTACAAAGGAATGTACATGGAACACAACATCGGGCAACACGCACTTGTTCTCACCGGGTACACACACCGAGAGGTATACATACATATACACCGAGAGATGTGTATACCTCTCGGTGTATATACGCTCGGGGTTTACCGCAATCCCTATTCAGCCTTACTGACCCTAGTGAAGTCGATTGGCATTTAACCTAACAAATCAACCAGTCGATTGGCTTTAAACACAACAAATCAACCAGTCAATTGCCTTTAAACCCAACAAATCAACCAGTCGATTGTCTTTAAACCCAACAAATCAACCAGTCGATTGTCTGTAAACCCAACAAATCAACCAGTCGATTGTCTTTAAACCCAACAAATCAACCAGTCGATTGTCTTTAAACCCAACAAATCAACCAGTCGATTGGCTTCAAAGCCAACAAATCAACCAGTCGATTGTCTTTAAACCCAACAAATCAACCAGTCGATTGGCTTTAAACCCAACAAATCAACCAGTCGATTGTCTTTAAACCCAACAAATCAACCAGTCGATTGTCTTTAAACCCAACAAATCAACCAGTCGATTGGCTTCAAACCCAACAAATCAACCAGTCGATTGTCTTTTAACCCAACAAATCAACCAGTCGATTGGCTTTAAACCCAACAAATCAACCAGTCGATTGTCTTTAAACCCAACAAATCAACCAGTCGATTGTCTTTAAACCCAACAAATCAACCAGTCGATTGTCTTTAAACCCAACAAATCAACCAGTCGATTGTCCTTAAACCCAACAAATCAACCATTCGATTGTCTTTAAACCCAACAAATCAACCAGTCGATTGACTTTAACCCCAACAAATCAACCAGTCTATTGTCTTTAAACCCAACAAATCAACCAGTCTATTGTCTTTAAACCCAATAAATCAACCAGTCGATTGGCTTTAAACCCAACAAATCAACCAGTCGATTGTCTTTAAACCCAACAAATCAACCAGTCGATTGTCTTTAAACCCAACAAATCAACCAGTCGATTGTCTTTAAACCCAACAAATCAACCAGTCGATTGTCTTTAAACCCAACAAATCAACCAGTCGATTGTCTTTAAACCCAACAAATCAACCAGTCGATTGGATTTAAACCTAACAACCAGGGCTTGAATTTCTTTATATTTTTCTAGGGTGACTTTTATCCTCGTATTTTAGATTTTATCTGCAAGTTCTTCTGTTTGTCTGTCTGGCCGACAGCCTGTGTGGGTCTACCACAGTTCTCCCTTGTGAAGTGTCTACTCTGATTCTTGTGGTTCTGCTATAAGTTTTCCTTGTTTGGGGGTGTTATAGTTCTCCCTCGTGTGACTCTACTGTAGTTCTCCCTCGTGTGGCTCTACTGTAGTTCTCCCTCGTGTGGCTCTACTGTAGTTCTCCCTCGTGTGGCTCTACTGTAGTTCTCCCTCGTGTGGTTCTCCTGTAGTTCTCCCTCGTGTGGCTCTACTGTAGTTCTCCCTCGTGTGGCTCTACTGTAGTTCTCCCTCGTGTGGCTCTACTGTAGTTCTCCCTCGTGTGGCTCTACTGTAGTTCTCCCTCGTGTGGCTCTACTGTAGTTCTCCCTCGTGTGGCTCTACTGTAGTTCTCCCTCGTGTGGTTCTCCTGTAGTTCTCCCTCGTGTGGCTCTACTGTAGTTCTCCCTCGTGTGGCTCTACTGTAGTTCTCCCTCGTGTGGCTCTACTGTAGTTCTCCCTCGTGTGGCTCTACTGTAGTTCTCCCTCGTGTGGCTCTACTGTAGTTCTCCCTCGTGTGGCTCTACTGTAGTTCTCCCTCGTGTGGCTCTACTGTAGTTCTCCCTCGTGTGGCTCTACTGTAGTTCTCCCTCGTGTGGCTCTACTGTAGTTCTCCCTCGTGTGGCTCTACTGTAGTTCTCCCTCGTGTGGCTCTACTGTAGTTCTCCCTCGTGTGGCTCTACTGTAGTTCTCCCTCGTGTGGCTCTACTGTAGTTCTCCCTCGTGTGGCTCTACTGTAGTTCTCCCTCGTGTGGTTCTACTATAGTTCTCCCTCGTGTGGCTCTACTGTAGTTCTCCCTCGTGTGCCTCTACTGTAGTTCTCCCTCGTGTGGCTCTACTGTAGTTCTCCCTCGTGTGGCTCTTACTGTAGTTCTCCCTCGTGTGGCTCTACTGTAGTTCTCCCTCGTGTGGCTCTACTGTAGTTCTCCCTCGTGTGGCTCTACTGTAGTTCTCCCTCGTGTGGCTCTACTGTAGTTCTCCCTCGTGTGCCTCTACTGTAGTTCTCCCTCGTGTGGCTCTACTGTAGTTTTCCCTCGTGTGGTTCTACTATAGTTCTCCCTCGTGTGGCTCTACTGTAGTTCTCCCTCGTGTGGCTCTACTGTACTTCTCCCTCGTGTGGTTCTACTGTAGTTTTCCCTCGTGTGGTTCTACTATAGTTCTCCCTCGTGTTGTTCTACTATAGTTCTCCCTCGTGTTGTTCTACTATAGTTCTCCCTCGTGTGGCTCTACTGTAGTTCTCCCTCGTGTGGTTCTACTATAGTTCTCCCTCGTGTGGTTCTACTATAGTTCTCCCTCGTGTGGTTCTACTATAGTTCTCCCTCGTGTGGTTCTACTATAGTTCTCCCTCGTGTGGTTCTACTATAGTTCTCCCTCGTGTGGTTCTACTATAGTTCTCCCTCGTGTGGTTCTACTATAGTTCTCCCTCGTGTGGTTCTACTGTAGTTCTCACTCGTGTGGTTCTACTATAGTTCTCCCTCGTGTTGTTCTACTATAGTTCTCCCTCGTGTGGCTCTACTGTAGTTCTCACTCGTGTGGTTCTACTATAGTTCTCCCTCGTGTGGTTCTACTATAGTTCTCCCTCGTGTGGTTCTACTGTAGTTTTCCCTCGTGTGGTTCTACTATAGTTCTCCCTCGTGTTGTTCTACTATAGTTCTCCCTCGTGTGGCTCTACTGTAGTTCTCACTCGTGTGGTTCTACTATAGTTCTCCCTCGTGTGGTTCTACTATAGTTCTCCCTCGTGTGGTTCTACTATAGTTCTCCCTCGTGTGGCTCTACTGTAGTTCTCACTCGTGTGGTTCTACTATAGTTCTCCCTCGTGTGGTTCTACTATAGTTCTCCCTCGTGTGGCTCTACTGTAGTTCTCACTCGTGTGGTTCTACTATAGTTCTCCCTCGTGTGGTTCTACTATAGTTCTCCCTCGTGTGGTTCTACTATAGTTCTCCCTCGTGTTGTTCTACTATAGTTCTCCCTCGTGTGGCTCTACTGTAGTTCTCACTCGTGTGGTTCTACTATAGTTCTCCCTCGTGTGGTTCTATTATAGTTCTCCCTCGTGTGGCTCTACTGTAGTTCTTCCTCGTGTGGCTCTACTGTAGTTCTTCCTCGTGTGGTTCTCCTGTAGTTCTCCCTTGAGGTAATATTTATTTTACGAGACATAGTAAGGGTGACTAAAAAAAATGCTGGCGGTGTTTTTCTGCAACTGACGACTGAAACACTAGGACAGTCGAACAATAAGAACTACAACACCGCGGCTGCGATAATTCACGAACAGCTCACACTTAAAAACAAGGTGGAAGATTGTACCGACGTTTCGGTCCGTCCTTAAAGCTGGGGGCTGGGTAGAGGCCGGAGGATGGGAGGGGGTTGGGGGCTAGGTAGTGGCTTGGGGCTAAGTACTGGATTTCTGCGGTAGGCGTCACTGGAGTGTCTTGTGTCATCTCTTTTAAGTTTAAAGTTGCTCAGAAGATGTATTTCTATGTTCGCGATCTCCCGTCTGCAGTGTTAGCAACATTTATAAAAGAATCGGGGTGCTAGTGACGAAAGTCAACTGGTACTTGGGGCTCCTATTTACTGGGAGACGACGTGAGGTGAAGCCTTCGCGTATATCACTGTCTGAACCAAGAATCAAATCCGTGACCTTTCGGTTGTGGCGACTCTAGAAGTGATGTGAATAACCGGTTTAAAAGACCGACAAATTGATAAATGAGATACTTGTGTAACATTTGGATATTTTAATAAAGATATCTATATGTTAAACAAGTGTCTCGATTATTAACTGTGGAAGTCCAGCTGGTGAGGATTTGTATAGAGTCCTTGATGGGCAGCGGACGACTCGGTGGAGCCTAGGGAGCGCATGGGAGTACTGGGAAATGCATGAGAGAGTACATGGGAGAGCATGGGAAAGACAGACAGCAAAGGACCTCATAGTTCAGACCGAGGATACCTGCTGACAACAACTATCCACCTCCCTCTAGATTAAAAACTGTCATGTTATTTAGCTGCATGAATCAAGGAGAGAGAAGCAAAAGCCTGATATAACACTTAGGTTACATAACACAGGTGACACGAGGTGGCCAAGAAAAACAATGCGAGTATTTCTTTTGACTTCGAGAGAAAAATTCGGAGTGTGAGACGCTCAAATCTGAACTTTTGTCCCTTTCGATGAAAGAACGGTCTGTTAACAGTTATATAATATTTAATTTCACCACCCTATTCCTGTTAACACTCATCTAATGTTTAATATCACCGCCCTGCTCCTGTTAACAGGTATCTAACGCTCAGTGTTCTCTGTTCCAGCTGTGGTAATGGTTGCCGCTGGTTTGATCCCTCTAGCCTCGGCCTACAACCAGTTCCTCAAGTCCTTCTCCAAGTTCAGCCACTTCAACCGTATCCCCGGAGCAATGCTCTCCACTGCTCGAAGTCTGACTGACGCTGACCTCAGCCTTGACGATGGCGACAGCGCTGAAAACTCAGGAGAAAGAGTCGACGGAACAAGAGGAAGAGGAAGAATCAGAGACGAAATAGAGAGTGACGAGTTTGTGGGCATTGGCAAGGTTGATATTAGTAGCGTTGGTGGGGGTGGTGGCAGGAGTAGTGGTGGTAGTGATGGCAGAGGTGGTGGCAGTGGTGGTGATGATCGTGGCGGTGGTGAGAAAGGTGGTGTCAAGGGTACTTACAAAGGTGGTGTTGGCACTGGCACTGGATACAGAGGCAAAACAAGAATAAGGAGTATTAATGCCATTACAGGAGGAGCAGGGTTTGGTGGGAGTGGTGGCAGTGCAGGAAGGGGCTTTGGAGGTAATAATGGAGGAAGTGGCTTTGTAGGTGGCAATGGAGGGAGTGGCTTTGGAGGTAGCAGTGGGGTAAGTGGTTTTGCAGGTAGCAGTGGAGGAAGTGGCTTTGCAGGTAACAGTGGAGGGAGTGGCTTTGGAGGTAGCAGTGGAGGGAGTGACTTTGGAGGTAGCAGTGGAGGGAGTGATTTTGGAGGTAACAGTGGAGGGAGTGGCTTTGGAGGTAGCAGTGGAGGGAGTGGTTTTGGAGGTAGCCGTGGAGGGAGTGGCTTTGGAGGTGGTAGCGGTGTAAATAGATTCGCAAGTACCGGTGGGGGAAGTGTCGCTGCAGGCAACATTGGAGGAAGCACCACTGGAGGCAGTACTGCAGGAGGCGCCTTTGTAGGCAGCAGCAGCAGCAGTGGAGTGAGTACCTCTGGATATAACAGCGGAGTAAATGGACTCGGAAGCACCAACCTGGCCAGTGGATTCAGAGGTAACAGTAGATCTGGAAGCAACTTTGGTGGCTTTGGAGACAGCAATAGACTTGGAGGTTTTGGAGAAGGGAGCGAGGAAGGAAGAGAAAACAGCATAGATGTCAACATCAACACCGATGGTGGATTTGGTGGCTTTGGCAGCACCGCAGGTGAACGAGGCTTTGGCACCACCAGAGGAAGAGCCAAGTTCGATGAGACCAGCATTGGCACCGGTGTCGCCAGGACCGGATACGGCCCTGGAGGAGCCGGCGGAGGTAGTGGAGGAGGTGGTGGAGGGAGTGCTGGAGGTGGAGGAGGTTATGGAGGAGGCGGTGGTGGTGGCAGTGGCGGCGGCGGCGGTGGTGGCAGCGGTGGCGGCGGCGGCGGTGGTGGCAGCGGCGGCGGCGGCGGCGGCGGAAATATGGGAGGCCTGGCAGGCGCCATCGCTGGAGGAGGCACACCCGGGGTGGACTACCCAATCCTGACAGCAGTGCCAGCAACAAATTTCACCTGCGCTGGGAAAGTACCAGGCTACTACGCCGACACTTCACCTCAGACACGCTGTCAAGTGAGTCCTGTTGCTGTCAAGTGAGTCCTGTTGCTGTCAAGTGAGTCCTGTTGCTGTCAAGTGACTCCTGTTGTTGTCATGTGAGTCCAGTTACTGAGAGGTGTGTACAGCAGGTGTCAGGTGTGCACAGCAGCTGTCAGGTGCGTACACCACGGTAGGTGTGTATAGCAGCTATCAAGGGTGTACAGCAGCTGTCAAGCGTGTACATCAGCTGTCAGGCGTGTATAGCAGCTGTCAGGTGTGTACAGCGCTGTAGATGTGTACAGCAGCTGTCAAGCGTGTACAGCAGCTGTCAAGCGTGTACAGCAGCTGTCAGGCGTGTATAGCAGCTGTCAGGTGTGTACAGCGCTGTAGGTGTGTACAGCAGCTGTCAAGCGTGCACAGCAGCTGTCAGGCATGTATAGCAGCTGTCAGGTGTGTACAGCAGCTTTCAGGTGTGTACAGCAGCTGTCAGGTGTGTACAGCACTGTAGGTGTGTACAGCAGCTGTAAAGCGTGTACAGCAGCTGTCAGGTGTGTACAGCAGCTTTCAGGTGTGTACAGCAGCTGTCAGGTGTGTACAGCAGCTGTCAGGTGTGTACAGCAGCTTTCAGGTGTGTACAGCAGCTGTCAGGTGTGTACAGCAGCTGTCAGGTGTACAGTAAGAAGAAATATAGCAGCTTATCATAGCTAGCAGGTTAACTGGAAGTTTTCACACCTACCAGACCCCCGAGGATTATCAAAGTTACTGTGAATTTATCAGCGCCGAAAACATTTTAATTCTTAAAGTAGAGATTAAAGTAAACATCTCAGTGTATATACACCCAGAGATATACACATCTCAGTGTATATACACCCAGAGATATACACATCTCAGTGTATATACACCCAGAGATATACACATCTCAGTGTATATACACCCAGAGATATACACATCTCAGTATATATACACCCAGAGATATACACATCTCAGTGTATATACACCCAGAGATATACACATCTCAGTGTATATACACCCAGAGATATACACATCTCAGTGTATATACACCCAGAGATATACACATCTCAGTGTATATACACCCAGAGATATACACATCTCAGTATATATACACCCAGAGATATACACATCTCAGTGCATATACACCCAGTGATATACACATCTCAGTGTATATACACCCAGAGATATACACATCTCAGTGTATATACACTCAGAGATATACACATCTCAGTATATATACACCCAGAGATATACACATCTCAGTGCATATACACCCAGTGATATACACATCTCAGTGTATATACACCCAGAGATATACACATCTCAGTGTATATACACCAAGAGATATACACATCTCAGTGAATATACACCCAAAGATATACACATCTCAGTGCATATACACCCAGAGATATACACATCTCAGTGTATATGCAACAAGAGATATGCACATCTAAGTGTATATACGCCCAGAGATATACACATCTCAGAGTATATACACCCAGAGATATACACATCTCAGTGTATATGCACCCACAGATATACACATCTCAGAGTATATACACTCAGAGATATACACATCTCAGTGTATATTCACCCAGAGATATACACATCTGTGTATATACACCCAGAGATATATACATCTCAGTGAATATTCACCCAGAGATATACACATCTCAGTGTATATACACCCAGAGATATACACATCTCAGTGTATATACACCCAGAGATATACACATCTTAGTGTATATACACCCAGAGATATACACATCTCAGTGTATATACACCCAGAGATATACACATCTCAGTGTACATACACCCAGAAATATTCACATCTCAGTGTACCTACTCCCAGAGATATACACATCTCAGTGTAAATACACCCAGAGATATACACATCTCAGTGTATATACACCCAGAGATATACACATCTCAGTGAATATTCACCCAGAGATATAGACATCTCAGTGTATATACACCCAGAAATATACACATCTCAGTGTATATACACCCAGAGATATATCTTGTGTTCACCCTGAGCAGTTCAGACATTGAGGACATCACTTATGAGAGGCCCCTTGGAGCTAGCGATCATGTGGTTCTGAGTTTTGACTATATAGTAGAGTTACAAGTGGAGAAGGTAACAGGAACTGAAGGGGAAAGGCCAAACTATAAAAGGGGGGACTACACAGGTATGAGAAACTTCCTGCAGGAGGTTCAGTGGGACAGAGAAATGGTAGGAAAATCAGTAAACGAGATGATGGAATATGTGGCAACAAAGTGCAAGGAGGCAGAGGAAAGTTTTGTTCCCAAGGGAAACAGAAATAATAGGAAGACCAAAACGAGTCCTTGGTTTACCCGAAGGTGTAGGGAGGCAAAAACTAAGTGCAACAGAGAATGGAAAAGGTACAGGAGGCATAGGACCCAGGAAAACAAGGAGATTAGTAGAAGAGCCAGAAACGAGTATGCACAGATAAGGAGGGAGGCCCAGCGACAGTATGAAAACGACATAGCATCGAAAGTCAAATCTGACCCGAAACTGCTGTATAGCCACATTAGGAGGAAGACAACAGTCAAGGACCAGGTGATAAGGCTGAGGAAAGAAGGTGGAGAACTCACAAGAAACGATCAAGAGGTATGTGAGGAGCTCAACACGAGATTTAAGGAAGTATTTACAGTAGAGACAGGAAGGACAGACCAGATGGGGACACCAGCAAGGAATACACCAACAAGTGTTGGACGACATACATACAGATGAGGAGGAGGTGAAGAAACTGCTAAGGGACATCGATACCTCAAAGGCAATGGGACCAGACAACATCTCCCCGTGGGTCCTTAGAGAGGGAGCAGATATGTTGTGCGTGCCACTTACCACAATCTTCAACACATCCCTGGAAACTGGGCAACTACCTGAGGTATGGAAGACGGCAAATGTAGTTCCCATTTTTAAAAAAGGAGACAGAAAAGAGGCACTAAACTATAGACCTGTGTCATTGACGTGTATAGTATGCAAAATTATGGAGAAGATTATCAGGAGGAGAGTGGTGGAGCACCTGGAACGGAACAGGAGTATAAATGCCAACCAGCACGGATTCACGGAAGGCAAATCCTGTGTCACAAACCTTCTGGAGTTTTATGATAAAATAACAGAAGTAAGACAAGAGAGAGAGGGGTGGGTTGATTGCATCTTCTTGGACTGCAAGAAGGCCTTTGACACAGTTCCTCACAAGAGATTAGTGCAGAAGCTAGAGCATCAGGCGCATATAACAGGAAGGGCACTGCAATGGATCAGAGAATACCTGACAGGGAGGCAACAACGAGTCATGGTACGTAATGATGTATCACAGTGGGCACCTGTGACGAGCGGGGTCCCACAGGGGTCGGTCCTAGGACCAGTGCTATTTTTGGTATATGTGAACGACATGACGGAAGGGTTAGACTCAGAAGTGTCCCTGTTTGCAGATGATGTGAAGTTAATGAGGAGAATTAAATCTGATGAGGACCAGGCAGGACTTCAAAAAGACCTGGACAGACTGGACACCTGGTCCAGCAAATGGCTTCTCGAATTTAATCCTGCCAAATGCAAAGTCATGAAGATGGGGGAGGGGCACAGAAGACCACAGACAGAGTATAGGCTAGGTGGCCAAAGACTGCAAACCACACTCAAGGAGAAAGATCTTGGGGTGAGTATAAACACCGAGCATGTCTCCGGAAGCACACATCAATCAGATAACTGCTGCAGCATATGGGCGCCTGGCAAACCTGAGAACAGCATTCCGATACCTTAGTAAGGAATCATTCAAGACACTGTACACCGTGTATGTCAGGCCCATACTGGAGTATGCAGCACCTGTTTGGAACCCGCACTTGATAAAGCACGTCCAGAAACTAGAGAAAGTACAAAGGTTTGCGACAAGGTTAGTTCCAGAGCTAAGGGGAATGTCCTATGAGGAAAGATTAAGGGAAATCGGCCTGACCACACTGGAGGACAGGAGGGTCAGGGGAGACATGATAATGACATATAAAATACTGCGTGGAATAGACAAGGTGGACAAAGACAGGATGTTCCAGGGAGGGGACACAGAAACAAGAGGCCACAATTGGAAGTTGAAGACACAAATGAGTCAGAGAGATAGTAGGAAGTATTTCTTCAGTCATAGAGTTGTAAGGCATAGAAAATGACGTAGTGGAGGCAGGAACCATACACAGTTTTAAGACGAGGTTTGATAAAGCTCATGGAGCGGGGAGAGAGAGGGCCTAGTAGCAACCGGTGAAGAGGCGGGGCCAGGAGCTAGGACTCGACCCCTGCAACCACAAATAGGTGAGTACAAATAGGTGAGTACATCTCAGTGCATATTCACCCGGAGATATACAAATCTCAGTGTATATACACCCAGAAATATGCACATCTCAGTGTATATACACCCAGAGATATACACATCTCAATGTATATACACCCAGAAATATACACATCTCAGTGTATATACACCCAGAAATATGCACATCTCAGTGTATATACACCCAGAGATATACACATCTCAGTGTATATACACTCAGAAATATGCACATCTCAGTGTATATACACCCAGAGATATACACATCTCAGTGTATATACACCCAGATATATACACATCTCAGTGTATATACACCCAGAGATATACACATCTCAGTGTATATACACCCAGAGATATACACATCTCAGTGTATATATATCTTCTAATAACTACTTCCTAAAAATAATTCTTTATTTACGAAAATTTTCACGCAGTATTTTTGGGGAGATTTATATGTAAAAGGTTTATATGTAATAGACTTACATGCAATTAGATAACAGGTTAATGTTTTTTTCGAAACTCCCGGGGATTACCGGCCTATAATACCTCACGTAACCTGAGTTCAGCCAACTCTTGTATACAAGACAGCCAACTCTTGTATACAAGACAGCCAGCTCTTGTATACAAGACAGCCAACTCTTGTATACAAGACAGCCAACTCTTGTATACTGACAGCCAACTCTTGTATACAAGACAGCCAACTCTTGTATACAAGACAGCCAACTCTTGTATACAAGACAGCCAACTCTTGTATACAAGACAGCCAACTCTTGTATACAAGACAGCCAACTCTTGTATACAAGACAGCCAGCTCTTGTATACAAGACAGCCAACTCTTGTATACAAGACAGCCAACTCTTGTATACTGACAGCCAACTCTTGTATACAAGACAGCCAACTCTTGTATACTTGTATAGAAGACAGCTAACTCTTGTATACAAGACAGCCAACTCTTGTATACAAGACAGCCAACTATTGTATACTTGTATACAAGACAGCTAACTCTTGTATGCAAGACAGCCAACTCTTGTATACAAGACAGCCAACTCTTGTATACTTGTATACAAGACAGCCAGCTCTTGTATACAAGACAGCCAACTCTTGTATACAAGACAGCCAACTCTTGTATACAAGACAGCCAACTCTTGTATACAAGACAGCCAACTCTTGTATACTAGACAACCAACTCTTGTATACAAGACAGCCAACTCTTGTATACAAGACAGCCAACTCTTGTATACAAGACAGCCAACTCTTGTATACAAGACAGCCAGCTCTTGTATACAAGACAGCCAACTCTTGTATACAAGACAGCCAACTCTTGTATACAAGACAGCCACCTCTTTTATACAAGACAGCCAACTCTTGTATGCAAGACAGCCAACTCTTGTATACTTGTATACAAGACAGCCAGCTCTTGTATACAAGACAGCCAACTCTTGTATACAAGACACCAACTCTTTTATACAAGACAGCCAACTCTTGTATACAAGACAGCCACCTCTTGTATACAAGACAGCCAACTCTTGTATACAAGACAGCCAACTCTTGTATACAAGACTGCCAGCTCTTGTATACAAGACAGCCAGCTCTTGTATACAAGACAGCCAACTCTTGTATACAAGACAGCCAACTGTTTAATAGAAGACAGTCAGCAGGTAACCCCAATTTAACCAGCTGGTATTTTCCAGGTGTTCCACATCTGTCAAAGAGGAGGGAGGAAGAACTCGTTCCTGTGTCCCATCGGCACCGTCTTCAACCAGCAGTTCTTCGTCTGTGACTGGTGGTTCAGCTTCGACTGTAAAACTGCCAACCAGTTCTTCAATCTTAATAACGAGATTGGGAAAGTTCCCGGAGGAGGAGGTGGAGGAGGTGGTGGAGGTGGTGGTGGAGGAGGTGGGGGTGGTGGTGGAGGTGGTTATAGTGCAGGTGGTGGTGGAGGAAGTGGTGGAGGTGGCTATAGTGCAGGTGGTGGTGGAGGAAGTGGTGGAGGTGGCTACAGTGCAGGTGGAGGATCAAGTGGTGGTGGTTACAGTGGTGGAGGTGGTGATGGAGGTGGTGGAGGTGGATCACGACCTCCTAGTTCCCTATATGGGACACCGTCCAGGTAACACCCAGCTGGGTCGTCACTGGACACCTGAGTAACTAAGACACTTGACAACAGCATCGTCCATCATTCACAAGAACCGTCTACCATCACCTGGGAGATCTAAACTAACCTCCCCAGCTCACACCATCACCTGGGAGATCTAAACTAACCTCCCCAGCTCACACCATCACCTGGGAGACCTAAACTAACCTCCCCAGCTCACACCATCACCTAGGAGATCTAAACTAACCTCCCCAGCTCACACCATCACCTGGGAGACCTAAACTAACCTCCCCAGCTCACACCATCACCTGGGAGACCTAAACTAACCTCCCCAGCTCACACCATCACCTGGGAGACCTAAACTAACCTCCCCAGCTCACACCATCACCTGGGAGACCTAAACTAATCTCCCCAGCTCACTCCATCACCTGGGAGACCTACACTAACCTCCCTAGCTCTCACCATCACCTGGGAGACCTAAACTAACCTCCCCAGCTAACACCATTACCTGGGAGATCTAAACTAACCTCCCCAGCTAACACCATTACCTGGGAGATCTAAACTAACCTCCCCAGCTCACACTATCACCTGGGAGACCTAAACTAACCTCCCCAGCTCACACCGTCACCTGGGATACTTAAATTACCCTCCCCAGCTCATATCATCGCCTGGTAGACCTAAACTAATCTCTCCAGCTCACAGCATTATCTGGGATACTAAAATTAAACTTCTCAGCTCACACCATCACATGGGAGACCTAAATTAGCCTCCCCAGCTCACACCATCACCTGGGAAACCTAAATTAACCTCACCAGCTCACATTATCACCTGGTAGACCTAAATTAATCTCCCCAGCTCATACCATTACCTAGGATACTTAGATTAAACTTCCTAGCTCACACCATCACATGGGAGACCTAAATTAACCACCCCAGCCCACACCATCACCTGGGAGGCCTAGATTAATCTCCCCAACTCACACCATCACCTGGGAGACCTAAATTAACCACTCCAGCCCACACCATCACCTGGGAGACCTAAATTAACCTCCCCAGCCCACACCATCACCTGAGAGACCTAGATTAATCTCCCCAACTCACACCATCACCTGGGAGACCTAAATTAACCACTCCAGCCCACACCATCACCTGGGAGATCTAAATTAGCCTCCCCAACTCACACCATCACCTGAGAGACCTAGATTAACCTCCCCAACTCACACACCATCACCTGGGAGACCTAGATTAACCTCCCCAACTCACACCATCACCTGGGAGATCTAAATTAGCCTCCCCAACTCACACCATCACCTGAGAGACCTAGATTAACCTCCCCAACTCACACCATCACCTGGGAGACCTAGATTAACCTCCCCAACTCACACCATCACCTGGGAGACCTAGATTAACCTCCCCAACTCACACCATCACCTGGGAGACCTAGATTAACCCCCAACTCACACCATCACCTGAGAGACCTAGATTAACCTCCCCAAACTCACACCATCACCTGGGAGACCTAGATTAACCTCCCCAACTCACACCATCACCTGGGAGACCTAGATTAACCTCCCCAACTCACACCATCACCTGAGAGACCTAGATTAACCTCCCCAACTCACACCATCACCTGGGAGACCTAGATTAACCTCCCCAACTCACACCATCACCTGGGAGACCTAGATTAACCTCCCAACTCACCACCATCACCTGGAGACCTAGATTAACCTCCCCAACTCACACCATCACCTGGGAGACCTAGATTAACCTCCCCAACTCACACCATCACCTGGGAGACCTAGATTAACCTCCCCCAACTCACACCATCACCTGGGAGACCTAGATTAACCTCCCCAACTCACACCATCACCTGGGAGACCTAGATTAACCTCCCCAAACTCACACCATCACCTGGGAGACCTAGATTAACCTCCCCAACCTCACACCATCTCACCTGGGAGACCTAGATTAACCTCCCCAACTCACACCATCACCTGGGAGACCTAGAATTAACCTCCCCAACTCACACCATCACCTGGGAGACCTAGATTAACCTCCCCAACTCACACCATCACCTGGGAGACCTAGATTAACCTCCCCAACTCACACCATCACCTGGGAGACCTAGATTAACCTCCCCAACTCACACCATCACCTGGGAGACCTAGATTAATCTCCCCAACTCACACCATCACCTGGGAGAGATAAACATTGAACATTTTAAACTTCTAAATATTTTATTACTCCGTGGTCATTTAATATCATACTTTATTGGATTGTTTATACAACGTGCGAATATATTAGATTTTTGTATATTTCATTAATTGTTCTTGGAAAAAATGCTAAATATTTTTATTCAGTGAATAAATTGTACAATTTGAAATTTTTCGTAAGGTAAACGCTTGAGCAACATTATTTGTCATTTCAATAACAAACAATAATAATCCATTTACCTTATTTATTGTTTGTGAATAAACGACAGGTATTTCCTGTAGAGAATGTCGCGTTAAATTTCCTCCAAGACTTACCCTGAAGTTGTGACTGTCTATTTTTACAGTAACTGAAGTTTGGCATGATTATCCTCTGATATTAACATACAAGTTTTCTGAAACTGAAGGGAATGCAAGACGCACAGCTTTGAAATAGAGAAGAACCAGGGGAGACATGATGACGACGTACAAGATACTCCGAGCATTCCACAGAGTAAACATTTACAGACTTTTTGAAAAGATATTCCTTGAACGAGAGGACATAGATGGGAACTATAAACACAGATGAGCCTTGGCGACGCTAAGAGATACTTGTTCAGTCTGGGTCTCTGACAGGGAAGACATCATGACTGCCGGAGGAATTGAAAAAAAAAACAGAGGAACAGACTGTTTTAAAGGCTTGGTCCGGGAAACAGACTGTTTTAAAGGCTTGGTCCGGGAAACAGACTGTTTTAAAGGCTTGGTCCGGGAAAAAGACTGTTTTAAAGGCTTGGTCCGGGAAACAGACTGTTTTAAAGGCTTGGTCCGGGAAACAGACTGCTTTAAAGGCTTGGTCCGGGAAACAGGAGACACATCTGGAAGTTAAAGACGCAAACGAGTCACAGTGATATTAGGAAGCAGTTTTTCAGCCTTAGTCAGGAGGTGGCTAAAGCAAGTACCAAGCATAGCTTTAAGGCTAGAGACGACAGGCTTCTTGAGAAATGAAACTTGTGAAGCCAGTCGTATGAGTTTAAGAAGTGGGGTCAGGAGCCAGGATTCACCCCTCACCCCCCACAACCACAAGGTGAGAACACACACACGCACACACACACACACACACACGCGCACACACACCACAACACACCACCCCAACACACCCCACACAACACACACACACCCCACACACAACCCACACACAACCCCACCACAAAACACACACACACACACACACACACACACACACACACACAAATAACCCAGGAAGCTATGAAAAGTTATCAGGACGTTTAAGATACTTAGGGCCATGGACGAAGTGGACGACACCAGACTGACTTAAAACAAGAATGAGAGAACATAGACTGAAAATTAGGTTCCAGATGAACCAGTTGGATGTTCATCTTGAATATAAGGATAGTTAGGTTACACTATAACAGTGTTAACAGTTAGGTTACACTATAACAGTGTTAACAGTTAGGTTACACTATAACAGTGTTAACAGTTAGGTTACACTATAACAGTGTTAACAGTTGGGGTTACACTTAAACAGTGTTAACAGTTAGGTTACACTATAACAGTGTTAACAGTTAGGTTACACTATAACAGTGTTAACAGTTAGGTTACACTATAACAGTGTTAACAGTTAGGTTACACTAAAAACATTTTTTTAACAGTTAGGTTACACTATAACATGTAAAAATTTTAGGTTACACTATAAACAGTGTTAACAGTTGGGTTTAAACAACTATAACAGTGTTAACAGTTAGGGTTACACTAAACAGTGTTAACAGTTAGGTTACACTATAACAGTGTTAACAGTTAGGTTACACTATAACAGTGTTAACAGTTAGGTTACACTATAACAGTGTTAACAGTTAGGTTACATTCTCTAGTACAATACCAGACAATAATGTCTAGGATAACTGTAATTACCATATCACTATACTCGTTGTTGAGGCGTTGAGTAGCGTTGTTGAGGCGTTGAGTAGCGTTGTTGAGACGTTGAGTAGCGTTGTCGAGGCGTTGAGTAGCGTTGTCGAGGCGCTGAGTAGCGTTGTTGAGACGTTGAGTAGCGTTGTCGAGGCGTTGAGTAGCGTTGTCGAGGCGTTGAGTAGCGTTGTCGAGGCGCTGAGTAGCGTTGTCGAGACGTTGAGTAGCGTTGTCGAGACGTTGAGTAGCGTTGTTGAGACGTTGAGTAGCGTTGTTGAGACGTTGAGTAGCGTTGTCGAGGCGCTGAGTAGCGTTGTTGAGACGTTGAGTAGCGTTGTCGAGGCGTTGAATAGCGTTGTCGAGGCGCTGAGTAGCGTTGTTGAGACGTTGAGTAGCTTTTGTCGAGGGCTTTGAATAGCGTTGTCGAGGCCGAGTAGCGTTGTTGAGACGTTTGAGTAGCTTTTGTTGAGACGTTGAGTAGCGTTGTCGAGGCGTTGAGTAGCGTTGTTGAGGCGTTGAGTAGCGTTGTCGAGGCGTTGAGTAGCGTTGTTGAGGCGTTGAGTAGCGTTTTTTCGAGGGGCGTTGGGGTAGCGTTGTTTTGGGAGGCCGTTGAGTAGCGTGAGGTCACTGTCGTGCAATTACTGTAGTTTTGATATATTTTGTAGTGACGTGATATGAAATACAATTAATGTTATTGTTGTTGTGTCATTGTTCCCCCAAACAAACAAACAAACAAACAAACAAACAAACCAAGCAATAGATAGAACAATAAAACTTAATTGCAAACCTAAGTTGCAACCTCAGAAAATAAAATTGAAATTGAAAAGGAGATTCAATTCTTGCAGGTACCTTCGTAATACTAAGAGGGTCTTGATCCAGGAGATGGAGCTGCCTCTCCCTCGGATCAAACCCGGTTACTTCCTGTACCTCCATGAAATATTTTGTTTAAATGGTTTATTAGAACCGACAATTTGTTTAAATTAAGACAATTGAAATTTGGGTTATTTTATTACAAAGTTTTAAATCTTCTCCCCCCTTTACAAAAAAAACCTTTAAAAACATGAAAAATTTTAAAAATTTTAAACCCTCAACCCAAATCTTTTGGGGTTTCAGAATTTTATCCTTAAAGTTTCCCCTGTTTAAACAGTTATAAACCCCTTCTTTTGTTTTAAAGTTTTCCCTTTTGTTTTCCTAAGAAATTTGTCGAAATTTTTTCCTCAAAAAAAACAACCCCCAGATTCAAAATGTTAAATTTATAAATTCTCTTTTCATTAACCATTATTTAAAATCCTGTTAAATATTCTTGGGATTTTTTAAATTTTAAAATTTCCCTTTGCTTCCTAATTTTCAGCCCTATTAACAAATTAACCAAAATTTTAAACCCCTAAGCTCTTGCAAACCTCTCCCTGTAAACGTTTTAAGCTGCTTTTTTCCCGAAAAAAGGGAAATTCTTAAATTTCAAGATTTGAAAATGAACAACCCTAAGGGTTAAACTATTCCTTCAAGGGCCCCCTATTCAATTTCCTCCTATAAGGGATTTAACCCTATTAAAACCGTTTCCTCTAAAATCCACAAAATTAATTTTGGCAAAATATCTAATTATTCCATAAAAAAAAATTCTTCAAAACCCTACTTAACACAAAACACAAACAAAACATAACAATAAAATTTTAGCAACAAACACAAACCGCAACAAATTTTTAAAATTTTATTTTCAACTTTTCCTCCCAAAGGTTTTACACTTCAACCCCCCATTTTTAAAAAACTTTCCAAAAAGAAAATTCCCCCTTAAAATTGAAACTTTTCCATTATACTAAAAAATTTTACGGAAACTGCCTAAATTATTTCCACAATTCACTTCAAAACAACTCAAAATACCTTTCCCACACTTTTTAAAAATTTAAATACAAAAACCCTTTTCACATAAACCCACACTTTAAATTTTTCACATCAACAAAAACCCCAACCCAATTTTCAACTTTACCATCAACAACACTTTCAACACATCTTTCTTTTTACACTTTCACAACCCCCTCAAACCCCAAAACAATCAACCCCTTAAAACATATCACATCAAAAACCCAATCAACATACACCCAACAACACATCAATTTCCCAAACATCAAAACAAAACATCAACTTTTAACACACTTAACATACACTTTCCAAAAAAACATAAAAAAACACATAAACCCAAATAAAAATTAAAAAAAACACATCAACAAACACACAACCTTTTTCCCCCATAAACAAAACCAAACTTTCCAACATAAAAATTCAACATTACCACCTTCAACAACAAAATTAAACAAACATAAAACACATCAACACACAAAACAAAACAAAATCAACACCACTAAACCCAACACATCAACAACAATCAACATAACATCAAAAAATACACATCAACAAACACATCACAAACCCCATCAAAAATAAAACATAAACCCCAAAAACACCTACACACAACACAACATAAACATCAACACCAAAAACATAAAACAACACATAAACAAAACACATAAAACATACCCCTAAAACAACAAAACAACAAAACAAAACCCACACACATCAAAAAACACTCAACAACACATCAAAATACACATCAAAAAACATAACACATCAAAACCCAACAAAAAAAAACCATACAAAAACAACATCCCACATAAAACCAAACACACAACACACAAACAAAAACACAACCCACATCAACTTACACATCAACAACCCCTCAAACCCCACATAAACAAACACAACAAAACACACATCAACACACCCAACAACCAAAAACACAAAAATTCAAAAACACACCCAAATACACATCAACATGCAAATAATCAACATAAACTCAAAACATCACAAAACATCCCCAACTTTCAACATACCCCATAAATCATACACATAAACAAAACCCATCAACATCACACCCAAAAAAACAAAAACATCAACATACCCCTCAACATCACAAAACCCACACATCAACAAAACACACCCAACATACAAAATCAACATACACATCAACATAACTTTCAACATCACATAAACCCAAAACCATCAACAACAAATAACAACACATAAAAATCACACCCAACATACCCATAAAACATACACATCAAAAACCCCAAAATCAACATACACATCAACTTTAAAACATAAACAACACATCAAACACACTCAAAAACCAAAATTTTTTCCAAAACAAACATCAAATACACATTCAAAAAAAAACCAAAACAACACACACATCACATAAAAACTTTTTAAAAACCAAAACACACATCAACAACACAAAAAAACATACACATCAAAAAAATTTCAACACACAAAATCAACACAACTTCAACATACCATCAACTACACATCAACATACACATCAACAAAACATCAACCACAACACCCAACCCAACCCCCCCAACAAAACCAAAACCCCATACCCACATCAACACACACTTAAACATACAAACAACATACACATAAACACACATTAAACCCCCCAAAAATACACATCAAATACACCCTTTAAAACAAAACAAAACCCACATACCATAAACCCAACCCCAAAACATAAAACAAAAATACACATCAACACAAACATCAACAAACACATCAAAACACACTAAAACCTACAAAATCAAATACAAAATCAACAAACACATCAAACTTTTACACACAAATACAAAATCAAAAAACAAAACAAAATAAAACATCATCACAAAAACATCAACAACAACAACCAAAACCCCATCACATCAACAACACACAAAAAATTTACACATCAACAACACATAAAACCAAACATAAAAACATACCCCATCACAACAAAACCCTTTAAAACAAAAACCCTTCAACACAAACATCAAATACCATCCAATAAAACATTCAACATCACCAAAAAACACACTTCAACAAAACACTTCAACAACACAAAAAACACTTCAACATACCCTTAAACTTTTTCACATTCAACAAAACCCCAATTCAAACAAAAACTTTTCAACACCCCCCAACAAACACCAACCCAAAAACCTAAACCACCAACACAAATCCAACACAATTTTTTCAAAAAACAAAAATTTTTACCCCTTAAAATTTAAATTTTAAAAAATAACAACACCCTAAACCACACTTCAACCAAATTAACATACCCCTTTAAACATCCAATAACATAAAACCCTTTTTTCCCATCAAACCCAAATCAACTTACACACAAAACACCATAATTCAATCCTTCCTTTTCAAAAATTAAACATCAAAAAAAACCATAAACCAAAAACCCCATCAAAAACCCCAACAATCAACAAACTCACATAAACATCCACAACATCACATCAACATACACACCCAACTTCACTTCAACATCACAACCCAAAAAAAAAAAAACCCTTTCCATAAACCCAAAACACAAAAACCTTTCCACAACCAAACAACACATCAACAACCATCAAATACACATTCCCCATTCACATCAACTTTCCATCAACATCACATCAACATACACATAAACCCACATTTAAACCCAACACCCAAAAACCACATAAACATACACATAACAAAACTTCAACTTTAACATCAACACACAAATCAAACATGCAAAACAACAAAACTTCAACCAACCACATAAAAACTTTAAACACATCAACCAAAACCCCAATCAACAACACATCAACAACCACATCAACAACAAATCAACAAACATCAACATCCCCTAAAACAAAAACATCAACACACACATCAACCTTTACACACAAATAACACATAAACAAAAACTTCAACAACACAAAAACTTTACACACCCACAACACATCAAAAAC